ATATGAAATGATTGCAAAAAACCTATCTTATATATTTCATCATTTTTTAGGCATATAAAAATTTAATAATGCAATTAGTATTAACATCTAAATTTATCAATATTCATTTAATGATTATACTTTATCAATTTATATCTTAATTATCTTTTTATTAAAAATTCTTATTTCAATTAATCACTATTTATTTTGAATTTATGAATTATTATCTTAACTGTTTTCAAAAATTTTATCATTCATGATGTATTAAATTATTTAGGGAATTATTACAATAATGAAAACCATTTATTAATTTATAAATGAAACAATCGTATCACTATTTACATACATAACAAACAAATAAATCATTGTTATTCGTATATTGAGTATGAGCCCAGTTTTCAAATTGCAGACAATTAATCCACTCTTCACCTTTAAGGGTTTCTTATGAATATTAAATTTAATAGATATTAATAATGTTTATCTTTTATTAATTAATATATCATCATTTGCCAGTTTAATTTGTTCATCATTTGATTTTGTACCAAATATGTTTAAAGCGAGCTTTTCATTTCTATATGAATATAGCATTTTGGTCAGTCAATATATATGCCTATTAAATAAATCTTAAAACCAAAATTTTTTGTGCGTATAATGCTGAATGCCTAAGGATAATATAACAATAATCTAAATTAGTAATTTTTTCACCAAACAAAAAAATGTGTAACGAGATTTTTCCAGAAAGAAGTACTAAAAACAGCTTATTTAAAATTTTTTTTATTGGATTGCTCTATTCAATAGGTAAAGTTCATATCATAAAATACACATTTTGACAAATTTTGGGAGAAATCGGTCGAAAAGATAATAGTTAAAAGATGGTGGCTAGTCTTCAAATGGCCATTTATGACACATTTCCCATATATATTATGTTAATGTTATTTTTCGTTTTTAATATTTAAAAACGCAAAATATTCGGCGTTTTTTTTAGTAATTTAGTAATATTAATTTTTACAAATTGACCACCTTCTAAATTATATCTTCGGTTATGTCCTAAAAAACGATCCGAACTTTTAATTGGATTCCAAAATCAAGATTTGTTTTTATATTTTTTTTGCTTTGTAATCACCTTAAGATCCTTATTTTTATATGTCCAAAATAAAACCTAAATTATTCAATTTTTATATATAAATTATAACGTTATATTTGCTTCACTTGCATTTTGATTTTAAAAAACAAATTTTGTTAATTTTTTTAAAAATTTTAAATTAAATTGATCGATAAATATTTCCTATATTTCATATAAAGTTTAATATTTTTCTAATTTTCTGAATTTACGCAAATGAAGCTCTACAAATATAGAACGTCGATCTATTTGGTAATCGTTGTTTAATATAATAAAAATATTAGCGATAGTTTTGTTAAACGGCTCGATTTGAGCCGATTTTTATCACGGCCCATATTTTAAGAAAAATATTGCCTAGCTCTAGATTTTTCTAATAGATATTTAAATTAAAGGTCAACATTGGGCGAGTTTTCCCGCTTGCCTATGCCCGGCTATTAAAAACTATTTGAAATTTTTTAACATCCTTACAATATATTTTTTTATCTATTTAATTTAAAAAAATTCGAAAAAACTTAAAAATGACGATTATGACAATTGTCACTTTTCTAAGGTACATATTCACTGAAAATTTAATTTAACATGTTTACAATATTTATTTTTACCTATTTGCTTCAAAAAAATTCGAAAAAACTTAAAGATGACGATTATGACAATTGTCACTTTTCTAAGGTACATATTCACGGAAAATTTAATTTAACATGTTCACAACATATATTTTTACCTATTTGCTTCAAAAAAATTCGAAAAAACTTAAAAATGACAATTATGACAATTGTCACTTTTCTAAGGTACATATTAACTAAAAATTTAATTTAACATGTGTACAATATATATTTTTATCTATTTGCTTTAAAAAAATTCGAAAAAACTTAAAAATGATGATTGAGACAATTGTCACTTTTCTAAGGTACATATTCATTGAAAATTTAATTTAACATGTTCACAACATATATTTTTACCTATTTGCTTCAAAAAAATTCGAAAAAACTTAAAAATGACGATTATGACAATTGTCACTTCTCTAAGGTACATTTTTTTTTCTCTTTAGCTTTCACCTTTTCTGGTGGTAAGCTACTTCAACATCTCTCTCCACTTTATGCCATTAATACAATCTCTTTTATCTAATTTATACTTCTTTATATTGGTTCTAACTTTTTGGCCCCATTGAAGTTTTGGCCTTCCTCTTTTACGTTTGCCCATCACTTCCAGATTCTTAACTTTATTTCCTATGTAGTTCATAGGCCTTCTCATTGTGTGCCCATACCACCTAAGTCTGTTTACCATTAACTTAGTCTTGATGGGCACTACCTTTAAACTACTTAGTATTCTTGTACTGCGCACTTTATCCTTTCTTGTTACCCCAGCAATCATCCTCAGCATTCTCATCTCCATGGTTTGTAGACTTCTCTCGTCTGATTCTTTGGTTGGCCATGTTTCCGAACTATATAGAATAGTTGGTTGTATTATGGAAATGTAAATTTTTTCCTTTAATTTGTGTGGGATTCTTTTATCAAATAGCATTCCAGATAAAGATCTCCACTTTAGCCACCCTTGATTAATCTTACTCTTTATCTCTTTTTCTATTGTGCCGTTTGTTTGTATAGTGGAGCCCAAATATTTGCAGCTTTCAATTGTCGATATCTGCCATTCATTTATATCAATACTCTTTGTTTCATCTCCTCCTATCACCATATACTCCGTCTTTTCTCTATTTACTTTTAATCCGTGCGTTTTTAGGATATTTATCCAACTCACTAGTCTTTCTTTCATTTCATCCTTAGATTCGGCAAGTATCACAATATCATCTGCAAATATCATATTCCACAGGACTGTTTGAGGTATAGACTGTGCTAATACATCTATTACTGTAATGAAGAGAAGTGGGCTGAGAGCTGACCCTTGATGAACTCCTTCAGCTATTGTGAAGCCTACTGAAGTACCTGTTGTGCTACGGACCATTGTTGTATGGCCCATATACATATCCTGTATTATTCTTATATATTTTTCGGGAACATTTTTGTGGCGTAGCGCCCACCAGATAAGTTTTCTTGGGATTCTATCGAAGGCCTTTTCTAGATCGAGAAAGACCATGTGTAGCTTTTTGTTCTTTTCCCTGTATTTTTCCCTCATTTGCCTAATATCGTGGATAGCATCGGTTGTTGATCTTCCAGGCATAAAGCCAAACTGAGTCTCTCCTATTTCGATTATATCTCTTAATCTATTTTCTATTATTTTTTCGTATAGTTTTAGACAGTGTGACATTAGTTTTATGCCTTTGTAATTTTGACAATTATGTGGATCCCCTTTATTTTTGAAGATAGGAACTATATAGCTCTGCCTCCATTTTTGGGGAACTTCATTTCCAAGTATCTTATTGTATAGATTTGTGAAGAGATGTATTCCATCATCTTTTAGTGCTTTAAGGCTTTCTATTGGAATATCGTCTGGACCTCTAGCTTTGTTGTTTTTCATATGCTTGAGGTATGTGATTATTTCTTGTTGTGTTATAGGTTGTACAAGGTTTTGACAATAGATGCAGTATGTGCGTATTTGCGCGTAGCTTGGAGGGAACGCCCTATCTTTCATATTCATATTTCCATTTGTTTTCTTCATTTTGTTTATTGTACAGGTATCCCTAGCACCCGGCTGTCCAGGCCTGTCGGTGACCGGGGTGTCATATCTAAGCTCCGAAATTCATCATACCATATGTCTTTACACATCAGTCATCGAAGAAAAACTTGAAAGTTTTTAAGGTTCTTACCAGGATTGAACCAGCTTCCTTGTTCATACTCGTGTTTCCAAGCGTACATCTTACCCATTAGGCCACCCCAGCGATTTTTCTAAGGTACATATTCACTGAAAATTTAATTTAACATGTTCACAACATATATTTTTACCTATTTGCTTCAAAAAAATTCGAAAAAACTTATAAATGACGATTATGACAAATTTTAACGCAAGCCGACCCAACAAGCCGACCCAACAAGCCTACCCAACAAGCCTACCCAACAAGCCGACCCAACAAGCCGACCCAGCAAGCCGACCCAACAAGCCTACCAAATGGGTCGGCTCAACAGGCCCGGTGCGTCGGGTTAGGTCGAGGTCGATTTTTCAACCCTGTCTCAGGGTTGAGCAGATTTCTACGACTTCGGCTCGGGTTGTGGGTCGTAAAAAACCAACCATTTAACAACACACAAAACTAATCAATCTACGAAATATAAGCATTATTTGATTATTATATATATATAAATATATATAATGTAAAAATACACAATTACAATAGGGCCAATCTATACGACTTCGACTTGGGTTCTGGTTCAATAAAAACTAACAATTTAATTACACTATTAAAAGATATCAAGTTTAATATCATGTTCAATGTAAAACAATTGTAAGCATTTAAGTAAATAACAACAATTAAATCTAAATAAAATGCGATTATAACAGGCGTAATAAAAATTTAACAACTTTATAAAAATAAATATCAATTATATTAACATTCTTAAATATTTTGTATTTTCCAATATTTTATTATTTGTGTTAAAAATTGAGCTTTTTAAAAATATTATTGGTTCTAATATATTTGATATGATGATTCTAATAGATTTTCATGTTCTAAAAAATGATTTTAATTAAAAAATATTATAACCCCCCCCCCCCCCACCCTTATATAAGAAAATTCCTGACTTCGAGCCTCGTAATTTGAATAAATAGGCGTTAAGGTTATAAAATAAAATTATAGTTATGCCAAATTATAAATTTTTAAATAACAAACAATAAAATTAAAATATAATATTTTTATTCTAACAATTTAGAATATATTAGTAATTGACTAATAATTTATTATACAAAAATGAAGTTTTCCTTTTCAGATCTCAATATGTTATTGTCAAACTGACAAGTCACGTGTATTTTGCACATGGTTTGGAATTTTAACTTTTATATGGACACGAGCAAAGATATATTCACTGGAATCAAATATTACTTTGTTGGGAATATTCAGAATGAGGCAATTATTTGCTTGAATCAAATCTATTTTTTTTTAAAGTTATATTTGTAATTTAGACTAAATTGAACCGAATAATTTTTAAGCTCTTTAATATAGATCTATAAATATTTTAAACACAATTTTAAAATAATAATTGATATAGAATTTCTATTTATTGATAAAAAATAGATTATTAAATCAATTTTATATATTATTTATCAACGCATATAAGGAAACATTAGCAGATATTTTAGATAAACATGGTGGTAAGAGATACAATTATTTAACTGGATGTGTGAGCCACGTTATAGCTGAGATCAATTCAGAAAATGAACCGGAATTAGAAGAAGCCAATGATATACATGAGACCTATATAGTATTACCTTCCTGGATATCACTATCTCATTATAGCAACACACTCTTACCGTAATATGTTTTCTTGTTCATGTTATTTTATTATCAATTCTTTTAATATAATATACTTATCTTATAATATATATCATGAGATATATCAATGCGATGGCTGATATTTTTTACATTGAAGATATCAAGAGCTTAAATCACAAAAATTTCTAAAAATTATCTTTTGTACATGAAGTGAAATTATTTTTTGATTCTTTTATAATTTTTTTTGTTGTATTAATAATTTATTTATTAATTCTCTTTGATTTAATAATTTATTTTATTAATTAAAATAAAAATTAAAAAAAAAAATTTTGTAATTTTGAGTTATTTTTAAAAATATAGACAACTATTATTTACAATATTAAATTGTCTTGGTATCAACCTATGGCATGGGTAAAAATGTTAAGGTATAAAGCTTTATATCTTTATATATTTTATATATCATTTAATTATATATAAAATATTTATATTTAGATACCATCCATTCTTAGTAACAAAAAACAAATTGTTTAACAATCTAAAATTTATGATTGATAATCATAATATGACACTCTCCTTAGAAGTAATTATTTATAATAAATATATAACTAAACTTCATGGTTCCTTTTTTTATTGATTATACAATAAGTAATCTTTATTATTAATATAACAATGCTGTATTCAAAAATTATATAGTTTCTACAAAAATTCAGTGTCCTCTGCCCAGTGGCCCCTACACTTTCTGAGGGATGGAACCAGAATACCATCCTGAAAGTACCCCCCCCCCCCCACCCTCAAAAAATGATTAATTATTTTTTGACACCCATAAATTTTCAAAATAATTTTTATTGCATCAATCTTTAATATATAATGTAAATAAAATGTAAAAAATTTTTTAGTGTTTAAGTTACTTTTGAAATATAACTAGTTATTAGTTACAGTTATATTTCAAAAGTAACTAGTTACATTATAATTTATTTTATACATCATTCATATAACACATTATTTATTTAATGAGCTCATTTATTTAATATAAAATAATTAGAATATACAAATTATAATTAATTATTTTAAAAAAATATATAATTTATCATATTAAACCGAAAAAAAAATTGGAAAATATATATTTAAATAGAATAAAAATATTATATATATTTGCAATGAAAATAAACATTTATTTTTCATAAAAATTAGAGTTTAATAAACGTTTATTTGCTTTTAATCAGGGTTGTGCATTTGACTGGTCATATACAATTCGGTCAATTGACCGATATTTGACTGGTCAAATTCAAATAAATGTTTTTTACACCAATATTAACTTTATTTTGCATTTATATAATATTATAATAAATCTATGTATAATAATAAATATCATGATATTTAATAAATTCATTCTATAGTCAATGTTTCACCCTCCGTGGCAGAGTCTTGTTCAGATTCATATTCAATATCATTATTTTCTTTAATATTTTTAATCAATCTTAAATTATGATACACTCTTACTAATTTTCCTGCTGTAGAAGCCTTTAATCTATTTCTGTTTTTCGTGTGAATATTGCCCCAAACCGACCAATTTCTTTCAGAAGAAGAAGTCGAACTAGGAAATGTTAGTAAAATATTAGCGACTTCTCTTAATGGGCAAGGTGGGCAAAATGCATTCCACCAACTTGAAGCCGAAATTTGATTGTTTCTTATGGAAGTTACAACTTTCCACATATTATGGCTATTAAATATACTGCTGTTGCTTCTGAAATTCTATATTACTCAAAATATTTTGATTATCACCACCTTGTAAAATACCCAATTCTTGTATTATATTACATGCTTCATCAAATTCAGTATTAGTAAGATGCTCCCCTTGATATTGGGGGTCTAATAAATAAGCAGCATTGTGAGCACATGTATTTAGATCAGTTTTTCTCTTTTCAAACATAACCTTAATTTTTTTTTCTTGAGATGGAGAAAATATAGAATCATGGCATGATTGTATTATGTGTTTTTCCAAATTAAGCATCTCGTTTTTTACTTGGGCCAAAGTGCATTTATCCCCTTGCACTTTCAACAATGAGGTAGCTAAAGGTTGGAGTATAGCTAAAAATTTTAAATTTTTTGTCCAAATTTCTTTGTTTAATATATTATTGGTAATTTCTATGGGACAAATATCACAAACAGCTTCTTCAACAACTGATGTTTTTAGAGCTTTCTTGCATATTTGAATTTGCTCCATACATTTTATTGACGATGCCCATCTTGTTTGGCTAATTGTACTTAATGTAGATGGTATGCCATGAAGATTCTTATTACGGGAAAATACTGCAGCTGGTATGTGTTTATTCTTGAAAAATTTAACAATTTTTTTAATTATTGAAATATGGTCACTGAAGGCGTTCAATCGTGAAAGAATAACTGCAATGTATGCACTGCACAACCATAACATTGTATATGATTATAAATAGATTCAGATTTTAGAATTCTCCAGGCTGCTTTCATGTTAGCAGCATTATCAGTAACTAAAGAATATACTTTTACCGGATTCAATTCATGAATTACATTTTTAAATTCCTGGGCAATATAATCTGCCGTATGGCGATTTTCCTCAGTATTTAGAAATTTGTAGACACTGGAACAGGCGTCATCACCATAAAATTAATAATACTCTCGTTTCTAATGTTGCTCCAGCCATCTGGTACAATTGATAAGTAAGGAGCTTTATATATTATATTTGTAACTCTCACCTCCATATCACCTGACGCTTTGATAGGACGTATTTTTTTAAAAAATTCTTGGATGTAGGGATTTTCAGTGATGTGGAAAGGTTAATTGCTCGCATATACAGCCTTTGCAAACAATTGATCCAGCTCATTTTTTTCTTTGGGATTAATTCTATCTATGAAACCGGTTATACAAGATTGAGATTTATATTTAATCGCCTTGCTTGTAGATTGATTAGAAATAATGGAATCAAATTCTCCTGAGTCACAAGACAAAATATTGTTCATTTGATAATCATTCTCACTAATTTCACCCAATTCTTCATTAGAGTTAGACTTATAGAGGTTGATATTTTGGAATTTGAATAAAATTTTTCCTTAATTATAACAGGGCACTTAGTACAGCTGCTTAATAAATGTTTGACCATTCTATCAACGTGGGTGATATAGGACATCTTGCAAAACTTGCACACCGCTTTAACTGATTTACCATCGCGTACTTCTTGAAAATGTTTCCAAACATGATGCTTTGGTTTGACCATAATCCCTAATATATTAAAATTTAACAAAAAATGATTTTGATTATTGTAAAGTTAATCAATCTTAACTATTTTATAATTATCGACCAATTATTCCAATAATTTCTTAATATTATAAATATAATATATATAACTTTTTAACAGAATTGAATAATATTCCGTAAATCTGACCAGAACAATTAAAATGAAAATTAATTTGAAAAACCAAATATAGCAAGTGTAAGTAAAACAAATGAGAATTAATATAATTTATACTCGGCTAAATATTAAATAAAATTTAAATTTATTAAAAAATAAGAATGAAAAAATTATATTATGATTATAATAATCGGGTATTTTTATTTTTTTTAAGAAAAATGAATTGAAAAAAATAAAGAAGGCGAGAAACGGCAATGATTAGGCAAAAAAATAACTAAAAATATTACTATATTTAGAAAAATTACATATTTATATTTTAACAATAAAAAAATTCTTTTGTTTTTAACAATTCATGATACAAATAATTTTTTAAATAATTGTAACCTAATAAGATTGATAAACATGCTTTTAATGCATACTAATTAATTATATCAAAATATTTATTCGCCATTAATATTTTAGAGTATTTGACCGTATATGACCGGTCAAATACTCCTCCGGTCAATTGACCGACATGCCAACCCTGCTTTTAATAACAAATTGGTTTCAAAATTTTATATACTAGTAGCGCTCGTTTATCTCCAAAAATGAGCTTCCCTAGACTGAATAAACGCTCAACGGGAGCACTTGATGTCAGGACAACATTATATTTAATAGAGAGTATTTTTAAATTTGGAAAATCGTCATATAAAGATAATGTGTTGTTATTGGTTAATAAAATTTTCTATAAATTCATTATCAATAATATTTTGCCGCTTTAAGTCAAAAAATCCAACTACATCAAATGATGTAAGTTACGAATGTGAGTCATTTGTGTTAGATTCACCATGAGGTATTAAAGTATTTATTAAATTTAAAATTTTCATCTTTTTTGATCTATTCTTTTCTTGCCTTATAGCAGCAATTATGTTATCATTATCATAAAGATCATGAAACCTATATCATTATTAATTTAAGTTACCTTTTTTCAATACTAGCTAAATTAGCATCCTTTAAAGATTGACAATATTTTAATTCTTAAATATCTTTCAGACATATAAGTATCTGTGTTATTGTTGGGGTATAATAACCCAGATACATATATTTTTCACCTTCAAATATGTCAATAGCTTTAGCTACTGCTTGCATAATCTAATTTTTAAATTGTAAATTTTTTATAAGACATTAATTTAAATTTACACTACAATATTCTTATAAAATCACGATCTTGTGATGTAAATCTACTCAATTTTAATTCATCACATAATATATCGAATTCCAAAGTCACTTCATTTATAAATGATAATATTTTAGATAGAGATGTATAAAAGGAACCCCATCTTGTTGCAACAGGATATGGGAGCTGAGAATGTAATTGCTTTTTAATAAGTTTGGCTTGGCCCAGATTTGTTTTGTAAGTTCCATAAACGTTGTCATTTAGATATAGCTAAGTTATATACTTTCTTATACTCCTCATTGTTTAAAAGTATTTTGTTGGCATCTTGTGATGCCACTAATTTTAATGTATGACACATCTTCGATGCCTGGAAAGGTAGTCGAAGTCATTTATATCATAATTTGTTAGCCCAGAAGAAGACGTTATATCATCTATTGAGATATATTCAATATCTGAATCATTATCCCCCCCCCCCAATTAAAGATGGGGAGCTAAATATTCTAAGAAAAATAAAATATATAAAGTAAATTAGTTAGGCATACCGAAACACTTTTGAAAAAATGCTTGCATTATCTGTTATTGTGCAGATATTTTATTTTGGATGTGGAATTCCTTAGAAACAGCAGTTAAGCTTTGTTGATTACATCATATGTATGCCTACCTTGTAGGCTTTGGCAGGCTAAAATAGCTGAACGCCTCTCCAATTTAGCCATATCAATCCAATGTAATATCAATATAGGAGCTATTATTTATATAACAAAAGAATACCAAATGTATTGTGTGCTTTAATAAAAAATAAATATAATATTTGCCTATAGTCTATCAAAATATCCTTCATTTTAACAAAATATTTGGATATTCTTGAGGTTAAAGTTTCTCTACATACAATCTGCAGATTAGGTTGCATAGTGTTTATTAGCTCAATAAAATCTTCATCATCACAGGTTGAATAAGGATGATTTCCATTATTGTATATTTAATTATTTGTGAATAAATTTATATTGGCTGATAACTTTAGTATTTGATTTTCCACCAAAGT